GGGAGGAATGAGGGAGCCCATAGCTGGGGCAGCAGGGGATGTGGGTGGGGGGGGGGAGCCCAGGGCTGGGACGGTGGGGCAGCCAAAATTTTTTTTGCTTGGGGCGGCAAAAAACCTAGAGCCGGCCCTGATCATAAATGGGCTCTTCAAGTGCCAAAAATCTCTCTTAGGAATTGCTTCCTATTCATTGAGATGTAATGAGTTACCACTTGACATTAATAATCTTATGGTCAAATTTTGTTCAGCACCAGTGGCCTTATCTTGGTGGAGTAGTTTGTGGAGAGGCCTTTAATACTATAGAGCAGCCTATCTCTGAAATACCAGTTAAGAAGACACCTTGTAAAATCAATAGGCAGCCACTTATCAGTGCTGGCTCCTGCCGGCACATCTTTCTGCTTTCCTCCTCCCCCACCAGTGTGTCTGTTTTGCTAATTCAGCTACATCCTGCATGGCATTTGAGAACACAGATTCCTTTTTCCAGGAATAAGTTTTAAAATAAACCCCCCCAAACACATCCATCTCAAGCATTAGTCAGTCTTCAGTATTCTATTGACGAGATCCCAAAAGCCAATCTTTTCCCCATCTAGAGATCCCAAGTAAACCTATAACCAGAAGTAGTGAAGAGCAAATGTCCTACCAGCATTGACCTCTGATAGACAAAAGAAACACTGTTACAAATCCATACCCAGCTCAGAAGAACCATTAATGAAAAATCCTAGATGCAAAATTCTCTAGACTCAGTTTGACCAGCAAGATTTGAAGTCTGATGTGCTAAGGGCTAACTATTGAGCGCTGAGCTTGTGGAGGGAAGATTGCAACTCCAATTTAACATTAATATAATGAAACTTTACCCCTTGGTGTGAGAGTGACATTTGTACTTGGCTTATTTGAAAATGCAATTTGCAGCAAACCTGAATAGGGAAGAAATTATAAGGGGGAGAAAATAACTAACTAGAAGCTTTAAAGCAGTACATTTTGTAGGAAGCAGATCCAATCAATTCCTGCCTGATTAAATCTCTCTGGTTCTAACCAGTCATAATTGCCTTCATTTCAGAACTATTAACAGAAATAATTGGCACCATTCAGGGAAGGTTTGAGGGTATGTCTACAGTGCAGTGTGTGCCCACATTCTGGCTCACCCACAGGCAGGCACAAGTTAGCTAAGCTTCCACACAGCAAGTCGCACATGCCCCGTACCCACGTCCATGTTGGCGTTGCAGTTACACGTGTTTAGTGCTAGGATTCTGGGGGTGTATCTCAGCATTCTTAGTATCTTACCAACTGGAACTGCTCTAGGAATTGGTTTGTGGTGTATTGTGGGAGAACTTGTCTGCTCTTCCTGGCTCCCCATGCAGAAGTGGTTGTAGCCTGCCATGTTTAGCTGAGACACTTCCGGCTCTGCACATTACTCACACGTAAGGCATGGATCCAGTGGATGAGCTGCTCCAGCTTGGAGGTGAATCATTTATCCAGCAGGGCAGTCATTCAGCAGCACTGGATGGCATTTGGAGAGCATTTTCTGAAATGCAGAAGGCGGCTGGACTTAGAGGGTCATTCACAGCAGACTGGACAGACCTGATAAATGCTGCAATTATTGAGGATTCAACATATGTAGGTTGGTGCTTCCGGTGCAAAAGAACTGGCACAATGTGATGGGGACACATAGTCATGCAGACCTGGGATGACCAGCAGTGGCTCCAGAACTTCCGAATGACAAAGCAGACCTTCATGGAGCTGTGCAAGGATCTTGCTCCAATTCTTCAGTGTCAGACCACTTGATTGAGGTGGGCCATACCAGTCCAGAAGTGGGTTGCAACTGCCTCCTGGAAGCTGGCTACCCCAGACTGCTATAAGTCATGGCTAACCAGTTTGGTGTTGGCAAGTCCACTGTTGGGGTTGTGTCAGTGAAGGTTTGTGAGGCGATTCTCACTGTGGTTTACCTAACAGGTGGTGGGCATAAGTGTGACGGGTTGGATCACAGAAACCCCCTTGGGAGCTGCCACCCGATGTGCAAAGACTACCCCTGCTTCTGTTTTCCCTGCCAGCTCAGGACTCCAGCACCCTGTCTTGCTGAGCCAGACACTCCCGTCTGGCTCCAGACACAGATCCAGGGTCTGAATCACTTGTCCCAAAGCTGCAAGTTTACCCGAAGACAGCTCACAGTAGTGCGCTTGTCTTTAGCACTCAGATGCCCAACTCCCAATGGGGTCTAAACCCAAATAAATCTGTTTTACCCTGCATAAAGCTTATGCAGGGCAAACTCATAAATTGTTCGCCCTCTATAACGCTGCTAGAGCAATATGCACTGTTGTTTGCACCCCCAAAGATTAAGACAAACCCCGAGTAAGTTA